AAACTAGATAAAATTCGCAAACATTTCATGTGAAAAGCCTTATATATCTTCATACAAAATTTTGTATAAATCCCATGTGAACTCACCCTTATATATTGTCCTAAGTTTTCTATACAAGCTTTCGGGACATTTTTCTACAATTTTCTAAATAACTGAAAAACTTTGTCCAGGACACTCTCTATTATTTAACTTAACAAAAACTAGACAAAATTTATTAAATTTCGTAATGATCAGTTTAATACAGTCTTATATGAAAATTTTGTATAAATCTTATGTAACTCGCCCTTATGTATTGTTCTAAGTTTCCCATACAAGCTTTGGGGACATTTTTTTACATTTTTGTGATTAACTCCAAAACTTCGTCCAGGACACTTTTTTTATTTAGCTTAGCAAAAACTAGATAAAATTTATGACAGTTCTCTATAAATATTTCAGTATAGTCTCATATGTAATTTTTGAATGAATCCAATGTAAACTCGCCCTTATATATTACATATCTTAAATTTTCTGTACAAGATTTCCGGACATTTTTCTACATTTTTCTGAATAACTCAAAAACTTTGTCCAGGACAATCTCTATTATTTAACTGGGCAAAAACTAGATCAAATTTTAAACATTTCTCAACGAAAATTTCAGTATAGTCTTATATAAATTTTTTGAATAAATTTAATGTAAACTCGCCCTTATGTATTGTCCTAAGTTGCCCTTACAAGATTTCAGGACATTTTTCTAAAATTTTCTAAATAACTCAAAAACTTTGTCCAGGACACTATTTTTTATTTATCTCAGCAAAAACTAGATAAAATTTACAGCATTTCTCAATAAATATTTCAGTTTTATATAAAAATTTTGAATATATCAAATGTAAACTCGTTTTAATATTTATAGTACCAAGTTTTTCATACAAGGTTTTCGGACATTTTGTTACATTTTTCTGAATAACTCAAAAACTTTTTACGGGACATTCTTTTTTAGTTAGCTTAGCAGAACCTAGATAAAATTTAGTATATTTTTATATAAACAGTTTAATACAGTCATATATGAATTTTTTTTATAAATCCAATGTAAACTCGCTCTTATATATTGCTCTAAGTTTCCCATACAACCTTTCGGGACATTTTTCTACATTTTTGTGAACAATTCAAAAACTTTGTACGGAACTTTTTTTTATTTATGTTGTAAAAAACTAGATAAAATTTACATTTCTCCATAAATATTTTAGTATAGTTATACATAAAATTTTTGAATGAATCTAATGTGCGCTGTGAAAACTAAGCACAAACAACGAATACTCGTAATTGTTTATAAAATTCTGTGGTCAAATTTAAATTTTATGTTACAACAATTTTTATTTTACATACTGCCGTTGTCCTCCGGTAATCTCTCAGTGGCGCCTAAAGAAGTTTTACTTCAAAAAAAATTTCACTGACAAACAAATTTATATAAACTATAATTTGAGCTCAGGAACTTTACTGACTCTTAAAAACAAACAGAACTGGATTTGTCGAATTTTAACATTCGGTTTACTATGAATGGATCAGAGACCTGGACTCTACATTGCATACCACATTCACAGATTTTTTTTAATAGAGACCTATCTTTATAACATCTTTAGGTCGTTCAGATTTTTTTCCTAGAGACCTTTATATAGTCTTTAGATCGATCGACCGCCCTTTTTACGCCCTCAATTATAATTCTTTATTAACCACCCTCGACGGCCCTGCCGTGATTTTCATTATTAAAACGTGCGCCGGCGGTGTCGGCGGTGGTGGTTTTGGCGGTGTCTGTCGGCCTTGTTTCTCAAATTACAAATGATAATTGGTTCGGCGAAATAATTTGCAGTATTTTTTCCTCTCTTAGCAATTCGGATCACGGACGAGAAATAATAACGGAGGCCAAGGGAACGGAATTCCTAATCGAGGAAATACAGTCAAGGGATAAAAATCTTGGGAGGACACTAATGACACTATCTTCTTCTTCGGAAAATTAAGAATTAAATTACCACTCTTTCCATATATAGCATTATCAAAATTCGGGGACCTGCCTTTCTGAAAATTTTTAGTATTTTTGTTCCAGATTGATATTCTTTTGAAGTAAAACTTCTTTAGGCGCGACATGGGTGTAAAAACTTCTTTAGGCGCGACATGGGTGTAAATCCGTACAAATGCAACGAAAATTGTTACGCCAAGCTGAAGTGATCACTTAGATGACTCGCGCTTACGACGCTAGTTAGCGCAGCTATCGCAACTATTCGATCTAGTCTGCGAGCAAAACAAAAAATACATCAAATGTCAAATCATATGTCAAAAACAAAACAAACAAAATGTGTCGACTTTCACTTGAGTTTTGTATTTAGCTCGTAGTCTATAAACATTTTTTGAAGTAAAATTTCTTTAGGCGCGACATGGGTTAGCAGTATAATTCGTGAGTTAATAAAAATGTCAGGATCGGAATAATATTTTATCCCGCCCCCCATAAATAATTGTAGTGCAAATGATCGCAAATAAATAATGAAACTAAGGAAAAATCTGCGCTGCGTAAGAAATGATAGCTTCGGCTATGTATATTTTGTGTGTGATCGACTTTGGCTTCAAAGTGGCTTAGAAATATCAAATGATGCTCAAAAACAAATTCTTAATAATGTTTTTTTAATATTGATTCAAATAATCAGGTTGGATGTCAAACTTGTCGAAAGATATTAAATTCGGGTAAAATTCCCACTTTGTGTAAGTTTAACGGGTTTGTATTTCCACCTATACCAAATTATCTACCTAAACTAGATACTGTATCTGAAAGGAATTTCACCTAGGTTGTGTTTCATGCAAATTAGACGATTGCGACATGCAAATGGACAATTTGGAATGTTTGGCACAAATTATAAATGTGCCTGTTGACATTAATAATATGGTTAATTTATTACCTCGTAATATTGATGATGATCATTGCATTAACGTTGACATAAAAAAGCAAATGATTCATAGATCAAGCTATGTGCAGGGCTTGATAAATAAAACAAATATAAAAGTATGGCTTCAATTTGTTAGCCAAGACGGATATTACAGCCGTTCAAGGAATGAGATTATATTGTCAGCGAAAAAGTTAAAA